AAGCAACTCCTCCACACTTTGACGATTGTAGGTAGGTACATATAAAAGTACCTAATAAGAATGCATTTTGCTTATCTAAAATGTATTTTTCTCTTAAGATCACGACGATTATACAACATTACATAAAAAATAAAGAAATGCATTATTAAAAATATCTATTAATATTATAACCGCGAAAGTTTGTGAGTATGGATGGATGTTTGTTACACATTTACGCAAAAACTACTGAACCGATTTTGATGAAATTTTGCAGTAATATAGCTTATACATCAGAATAACACATAGGTTATACTTTCATTCAAACCGCGGGTAGCGATAGTATTTTATAATGCAGTCCAGCTTTGCTTTTTGAAATAAAGTTAATCTTGACATTCAATTCAATAAATTAATTCATGCAAACATAAATCAGACTAATGATCATAATAAAAATGTATTATTGCATCATACTTGAAAAAATCGTGAACAACACACAAATACAATCATACGATCGAACTGGGAACATCCTAATTTGGTACTTAACAATTATAATTATAATTATTTAATGTGATTTTGAGTAAATAATGCATTAATAAATTATTGCATTAATGCCCAGTGGTTAGGATACAGTTTTATGTCAAGAGTATAAATATTATAGTATATTGTACTATTGTCATTGTATCGCATGCTGTGATTTTTAAATTGCGTTCCAACATCTACCCTGGAGTGGTAAAAACTTTCTAAGAACTCCTTGATGTGGAAGATGTTTATTTGAAATGTCTTTTGTATAACTACAATGACCTGTGGGCGTAAGAACCAATATTACAAAGAGTTCAAAGTGTTCAAACCATTTTTCCTTGTCACTGTTATTTATTTAAACAACAATCCACGAACGAACACTCTTTACTTTGGTCATAATTTTTTTTTAATGGCAAGTTTGTAATTCTTGTTATACTTCACTGCTATAGACTATTAGCACGTATGCTTATTTCCATTATTACCACCCTCACGGTATAAAAAATAAACCATAATATTGATATTCTGAGAAATTCTATGGATTTAACTTTATCAGACGAAGAATCCCGTAAAGATAAACAAATAATATACAAAAATAGATTTTATTATAACCTTTGGGTTGATTTTTATTTCTCGCCCCTGTTGTTTTGAGGGCACGTGCTCCTATTTTGATTGCCGTGGTAGCTACGACTGGCGTACAATGCACTCGGCCGGAACAATAACACAAGCCAACTGTGAATTAAAACAAAGCCGGGTTTTAACATTATGGAGTGTTGGTGCGATCATTACTCCGGCTCTGTGGCGAGACGGTACCTACTTCGTGAGCCGCTTTCTGCAATACAAAGGCGACAAAAACTCGTGAGAACTAAAAGCATCAGTGCAAAACGGAGGGGAGGCAAATATTTCAGCAGCGGTAATAATTGGTATAAGGTGGATAGGTATTCTCCGTGTCACGGAGAAACAATGTGTCACCGTTGGTTGTCATCCCAAGGATGTCGTAATTAGCGAGTAGTGGAACAAAGAACAAATGCGTCGTTTGAAGGAAAACTTACAATGTTGCCTAATATTGTACCAAGCTGCCTCGCCTTCATACTGATAGTAGACTAAAACCACCTCTTATAAAAACTTTTAGACCCTTGATCAACATTGGGTTAATAATAGGTTATTCCAATTATGCATGAGGATTATATAAATGTATGCATATATTTTTCTATTACCTCTAATTCCGATTCGGATATATTCTTTTTAATCAAAAGACTATCTCCTATAGCCTTACAAAATTTGTCCAAATACTTGTTAAGTGTTTTCCGGAACGTAATCATAAATTAATACTTATGATGAAATTTATAATCATTAAGATTATTAAAAGCTTTCATTACACCGTCAAAACGTTTGAGCTTGTTCAAAAGGGTTCATACAAAATAAACGGCCTGCCCACACCACCTACCAATCGTGCTTTAAACCAAAACATTATACAGTCTGATATAATCTAATCGGCACGAACACACTGTACAGAGTTTATATAAAACATCCATAAATTAAATTTAGTAGAGCTGAATAGCTATTATTTTATTACTGTACTGAAATATTAGCTCATTCTTATAACGAAGAAGAAAAGTTGTTTTGTTCTTAATGAAATTTATTTATTTATTATAGTAAGTTTTATTCAACATATTTTAATTGCAAAAAATTTTGTGGTGCAACCGCTTCCTGAAATTCATTGGTAATTAATAGATGAACTACCAGTAGATCGATCTGAATGCTACATTGCTAAATTCTCAATAAATACTATACACTAATGCAATTAAAGGAAAACTAGAGATATAAACATATTGTATTAATTCGCATGTGCAGTAAAGGTAATGATAGGTTATAAGGAAAGACTCGTGCCCGGTAGCATGGTGTTAATAGATTATTATATATGTCTAAGGATAGACTCACACTGTACAGTGAGAGGTTAGTGGGTTTGTATAATATCATGGTAAAGTTAAAAAGAATAGAAATGTAGAGTCTGTAGATACCGGGCGAATTACGAACCATAAATTCTGTGACTTTTTTTAATTTAGTGATATATGGGAGTTAGTTGTGCTTTATTTAATTGTGTTAATCCGCCAAAGTATATTAACAGTTTTGATCATGCTGTAACAATGTTTGGTAGATGCAGGCTTCATCGCCATCAGCACGCATGTTAGGAGTCGTGCACGTGCCCGAACGAGGTGCGCGCGAGCAGGAAACACGCGCCGCTACCCGAACCACGAATATCGTGCTCATACCTAGAAAAAGTTAACGACTATTTTATAAATCACAGAGGTCATAGAAAAGCACTATACATCTATATATACTAAAATAATAAAGCTGAAGAGTTTATTTCTTTTATTTGGTTGAACGGGATAATCTTAGGAACTACTAGTTTGAATAAAAAAGGTAAAGGTTATATAATATTACTCTACGACCGATATGTACATAAAAAAAATATTTATATATATACATATATATATATAATACTTACATAGATCTTAAAAGTACTTTTACTAGTTAGTACTACGTACTTAGTGCACTTTTAAGATCTATGTAAGTCTCTATATATCGCCGATCGATCCCCCGGCCAATTCAAACGGGGATCACACGACGATCTCAGCCGAGGTAGAGCCTAGCGATACCCTCAGACTAAAGTCGTATCCGTCAGGCAGAAGTTGGCCTTCAGCCGCTCCATAAGTCCTGCACTCGCCACCTATCGTAAGGTGGCGAGTGCAGATGCAAACCCGCGGGAGGAGACATATGGTAACGCTATAAAGGTCAGCTGCGGCTTACAGAATTAGATTAGTTCGATAAAAAATTGCATCACTATCTTCATGAAATGAACAAATTAGTTATTTTTATTATCACTACTTTAAAGATTTAATGACCTCTTTATTATTCCCCATAATGCAATGTAAAGTACATATCTAATTTATAAAATTAAATTTAAAATATATTGTGGGGTTCAAAATTAGAAAGTATCCAAAAAGTCAGTTCTCCGTAACATAACATTTTATAAGGACTTAAGTTACCTTTCTTTGTTAACCAAATCCATTGTTCATAAACGGAGAGCATAGCCTTGCAGACGCCACACTTGATAAATAAGATATTAACGATCGTGGGTTCTCTTCCCACTCCTGTATAGACCTTCGCTGAGTTTATTATTTATTACCAACTGCTAAATATATTAGAAAACCAATATTGAATGAGCATTTTGTTCTTAATACATGTCATTGTTGTTGGTTTCAGAATTATGACCTCTACGAAATTTTAAGCTATTAAGTTATATCTATTGTCTCTATCATACTTAACTATCACTACTATAACACTTATATAATCAATGTTCAAACACTTGGCCACGACTTTTTTAGTCCTCAAATGTCATGAGTTCAATTCGAACTAATCATAGAAACACCAACAACTATTCGAGAGACTGAGATCGGCTCGCCTCCTGCCAGGTTGGAGTCAAACATGATATAACCAAAAGAAATGTGGGCGTGACTGTGTTGCGTTCACCGAAAGGTCGACAGTTCATAATGCCTCCGACCACCCTATCTAGGAAAATAGTCGTGAAGGTAAATTATTATTAGTTTATCAATATTATACAATTAGGTACCTACGCGTATCAAAAGCATTGCAGTATAGTTTGCCTATGGATACCTTAATGATCAACAGTAAGAATTTTGGGCAGGTTTTATACCATGACTGTTTAAAACCATTCATTTCACACGCTTGAATGCTTTCAATGGGATAGCATGGGCTCTCAAGGAGACGCTCCGGCGCAGGTACTTACACAAATAGTCGCCTTAACAGCTCTTTTTTTCTACCAAAGTATCATCCGAATTGTCGCCATTCTTCAACAATTCTTAAAACGTTTTTTTAAACATGTTTCTGTTATCTACCTGCTTACTTAATTAAAAAACATATTTTTTTCCTTTTCTTCACAGTAACAGACAAGCGATTGATAAAATAAAAAAATAATTGGAGCGTTTATGGACTTACGTTAACTCTGTTAATACAGCAAAAGTATTGTTGCTTATCGGACTGATAAGAAATTTGTCCAAGTTCTGCGTTTCCACATTTAAGAACTAATGTAGGTAGGTATACAAATTCTTATCAATTTAGGTGCGCTGCTTACAGGAAACGTCTTTTTTAGTATATTAACATTAATGTTTTACAAAACGATCTAGTTCTAATATTTATAAAACATATTCAATTTAAAAAATAATAATTTCTTTCAATAATAAAAACTGTAACTAATTCTATTTCTTTTAAACCACATCTGTATCACAAAAAATAATCGATAGTGATCGGTGCTAAGCTCCCCTCTGTGATACCTTTGGCTCCGTTTATTCGAAGGGTTCAGTATATAACTAATTTATATTTCCTACTGAACCCTACATACGGTGTATGAGCAGCATAATAACAATTCTTGAGCACAGCGCGCGTTATTTTGTTTGAGGTTAGTTTAGTATTAAGTCGACATTCGCTTGAAGCGAACGCTACCTCGAGCGTGGTACAATATACAGCGTCTGGTTTTGACGAGAGTGCATTTGAAACATCGCGATCGATATTCCGTGTATTTAGTGCAGTGAACAATGGTTTTGTTTTTAGAAATAAATTATTGAAAAAATAACCAAAATGATCAAGATTTAATTTATGCCTAATCATCACCTATTGTCCGGATAAATTAAGTCTCCTTGTGAAGGTAAGCAAATAAATATGGTAAAACATTTAAGCCTGCAATTAAGTTTACATAATTTATTTATATATGTTAATAGTTAAGAGAATACTATTATTATTACTATTACTCTGTTATTTTTAATACAACATATATAAATACTTTACATTAATAAATAAAATGATAAAATAATAATAAATATAGTTGTATACATAGGTATAGGTATTGTGTATTAAGTCATTCAAATTATTTAGTTTAATTTCTTACCAATTGTAGGTACTTTTTACATCGAAATTAGGATAATACGTACATAAACTACAATATATACTTATCAATATGTAAATACCAGTAACGGAAAAGTCTGACAGCCTGAAAAGTGTTACTGAGCAGAAATATCGTACAGTTGCGTAATTTCTTAAATTTACCAAATGAATTTCTATGTAATCTATATTCTGAGTAAATCAACTGGAAAGGTGATAAACAAAATGTATAAAAACGGAACGTTTGCAACGTTGCACCGTCCGAGGGTTTACTTCCCCACGTACTATAAACCCCTCGCCTATCACACTCCGGCAGACGTAATTGCAAAAATTTATAAACAGTCCAATTAACTTCTATCTTGAACGACACAAAGGCTATATTGACTTAGCATTATAGATCCAGTAAAATTGTAGATTCGCCGCCGCCGTGCATTCATCCCACATCCCTCTTTTATTACGTATACCGTATGCACACCGCGGTACTATTGTGACTCGCAATCCATTAGACGATTAAACCATCTCATTGTTATCAAACATATTGTTATGTAAATAATCGGTCGCAAGTTGGTTAATATATCTATACTAGAATATACAGTTATATGATATTCAAACCACAATTTCATCTGTTAAACAATTTAATACCTACTTAAATAAAAATATGTGTAAAGATCACAAAAATTATCACTTATTTACATAAATGCATGCATATCTAGGCCCAAATGTAACCTTTGCCATTTAAAACATAATAAACAACAACGCCTAATTCAAATAATAACCGTTATATTAAACGGTTGGAACGATTCGAATAATAACGTATGATGAACTTTCTGAGTCATTTTATTCGACCTGCTAATATCGCTTCCAAAAACTTAAGTAGCCGCTCACTTCTCCTAAGATGGCAAGTGTAGCATCATTATTTCAGATTGAAACGGTCTAAATAAGGACTAACAAAGTGGGTTCTTCGGATTAGAAGAACAAATCTGCAATATTTTACCATTAATATTCTCTAAATCACCTATATTAAAATAGTATATATATACTATCGACCGTGTTAATTTCATTGTTCCAAATATATAATTTTAGATTGCTTCTTCGTAAAAAGCCATCTAAAAATAATTAAAAATTTGGTCCAAATTAGTAAAAACATTATTCGGCCAACTAAATAAAGCACTTCTATTCAAACTGTGTAGGTAAAAACTGTTAAAATTAGTAAATATCACGTAGCATACAATATAGTAACGTTAAATTAAAATCCTTAATTGAAATAATACTTGGTGGCAATAAAACCAAAAGTCCTATCTGTGCAAGACCAATATGTTAGGATTAGTTAATTCTAAGGCATTGGTCTTACACTAAAAGTCAATATTTTGTGATTAAAAGGTAACAGTCCTACTGTTACCTTTTTTATTTATTTATTAAATTATACCGGTGCATAAAATCTTTGGGATGGCATATATGTAATTTAAACTTCATTAGTCTTTACAACAATAACTATATAATTTGCGAATGAACTCACTGTTCGCTGCAGTATAAAAAAAATAGTAAAAATTGAGAAATCAAAATTATATATGAGATTATGTCCTTTCTATATATGTACTTATAAATTATAGCGTATGAAGTAGTTAAGAACCTACATATATCATTTATATAATCTAGGATTGAGTTACCATTTTTTATAGAAATGTCATTCCATAACAATTCGATGATGATCAAACGTGTTTATCTATATGGAGCTTGAGAATTATAGCATTCTATTTGTACATTGAATTGTGATTTAAAAGTCCTTGATTATAATATTATAATAAGCAATTGCGAGACTGTATTTTGGTATTAGCTTCCTTTCAATATAAGGTTCACCTTTCACGGTGTTGTTTAATTTATGCAGTCACGCGAACTTTTGTGCTCTTCAGTTGAATTATAATGCAATATATAAAGGACTCCAAATATGTTCACAAATTACCAATGCATTGTTAATAACATCCTTTATAATAAAAAACCCTGTTTGTTTTTTATATTGGTAGTAGAGCTTTATATGTAATGAAGTTAGTTTAGTAACGATAAGCAAATTAAATTAATAATTAATTGTCAGTGCCTACTTAGCATCAGGCTCATCGGATGCTGCTTAATTATTACTTTCATTCATATAATAATATAATTTTTAAATCTTGTTGAGTCATTTTAAAATGGCACTCAAAAAGACCTTACCCTCTCATATTTTCACAAATTCTCTGACAAAACAATAATAACATAATGTATACAGAATCTAGTTTCTTATACATTATATAGTTTCTTCCTATGACTGTAACATTATACATGCTCAGAAATAATGTTAAACATATATGGACATAAACATGATGTAGTGGTATAATTCCGGGTCTCCCACGCCTGATAATGACCACGGACAATGCCATCTTTGAGTAACGGACCGGCCTGAGAAGAGCCCTTGTAGATCACATTGCTGAATAGATGAACTATGATCTGATGATAATCTGAATTCTCTCTATGTATTAAGAATAATCATTCTATACTGGAAGAGTAGTTTTACTATTGTAAGATCAGATGAAATAAACACATAAAGACAGAATTAGTCATTTATACCTTGAGGGAAGGTTATTAGCGAAATTTTGTAATAACTACGTCTCACTAGTACGTCTACGAATATGTCTGTATGATATTTATAAATGAGATAATTTCGGTGAAAGTTTTTAAACCATAGTACACCAAAATAGCTATAAGAACCCAGCTATAATACAAGTTTGAATGAAACATGCATGACATTTAAAAATGCCATTTCTTTACACACTTCAAGTCTTTATCATATATTGTAACTGAATTCGACTCTGTCTGAAGCATTTCATATCGTCTCGTTATGACCTATGTAGGCAGGTACTTTTACTGTTGCGAAACCTTGAATGGTGTCCCACATACGACGTCGCGGCGAAACTTAATCGTCAGCCATCCATCCATCAGCCGCATCGGTTCGACCCACTCTCTTGTTAGTCTTCTACCGTATTATATGTACTTACCATAATCTTCACTCAGACTATACTTATAAAATCGTTTTCTTGATAGAATTTCAAAGGTTTATAAATTTTGGAATACAGGTTTATTCTTAAAGTACGCGTATCCGAATCCGATAATCTTTATTTATGAAAATTTACCTCTGCGATGGAAAATTAAATCAATCAATACATTTATAAAGTACATTTCGCATCGTCAGCGGAACCTACACGTGGAAGATTTGGTAACTGACGGGCAACTTAGTACACAAGACTTACACTAAAAATACTAATTATTTTGATTATTCTTTGTATTGTTCACGTATCACCCGCAGAAAAAAAAAATCTATTTAACGGCACCACACGAGAAACATATTTTTTTAGTACGTATAGTTTTTAATTTCATTGCTAAAGCTTATAAGGGTCTTTGTTATCAAATAAGTAATATTTAACTTTCGTTGAGGTCGAGAATTTGTTGGAACAAAGTTCTATGCAAGTCAGTGCTTACGTGTAATACGTTTCATCAATTTTATAGAATAGAAACTCGAACCCATACCGACCTTCAAACATCTATTTTGACCGCAAAAAGTACTAACTACATAGTAATTAATTATTCTATACATATTCATAACAAAATTCTTAGAAAGACGAATAAAAAGAGCGCTGTACAACATTTTAAAAGGCCATATTTTATACTTTCCGCGTTACTAATTAACGTTTAATCCACTACAATGAGTAATAAAATAATTTTATGAAATTACAATTTTATAAACCACGTACCTATTGTATTTAAATTTAAATACAATAGCTGAAAACAGTTGTATTTAAAATTAGATCTTAGTTTAACAGTCAACATTTATTGAAGTTTTTGTCCACAATAATGAATAGACAGTTTAGTTACGGCTGTATCAGTATCCATCTTGTTTTTCTGTTCTTTTCGTAACAATGCTACATGTCTTTTATTTCTATATGGTATGAACTTCGTTTAATAGAGCTTAATAATTGATGTTCCTCAATAAATATTGCGTTTACGTCATGCTCAGTATATATGTATGACTAGGTATTTTCTATTATTCTCTACTTTACTTAATTACGTTTGTTCCTACTTATCAAGTTCTCTGACTACATCTATTATGCACTAAAATTCAATAATTAAATAAATGACAGATATGTTCCTTCGATTAAAATAAATGTTTTTACACTACTGCTTAAATAAGGCAACTGTCACTTTGTTTTTCCAAATTCTGAGGATTTTTTTTTATATAATCGAAATAGGATACATTAGAAATCATGTTAAAATGTATCCTTAATACCATTGTTTCTAGTTTTGAAATGAATACAAATAATTACAGAAATATATGACATTTAACTAAATCTTCGCGAAAACCATAAACGGCACGTCCAATATCATCAGGGCGAGGCTAAACCATCGAACATAAACCATATTAATATGATTAGATCATGTATCAATTTGCGTCAAATTCGTGTATGTATTAAAAGTGTGTGTATATACTTACAGTTAGTTCTAGTTTAGAATTTAAAATAATATATTATAAAATAAAGATTATTATTTAACATTATTTTAGGTTTATTTTTTCTAAATTTAATATATCGTTCTAGTTACATACTAAATTTAATACAATTTCGAAATATGTTCGATGAGTAGGTAATAGTAGGTAGTAGTAGGTATTAATGAAATAATGAAACCAGAACAGAAACAATTTCTCATAAGAAAGAAATTTAATAAATGAGGCCACGCTACATAATA